GTCCCCGGGGGTGGGGCGTGCAGGCGGGTAGGGCTGCCGGCCTCCATAGCTAGGGGCCTCCTGGGAAACGTCCAGCGCTCCCGCTGGGTTCTGCGTGGAAAAGCACGGGCGCGCTGCCCTGGGCCAGCGTGGGGAGAGCTGCGGGCCAGCGCCCGCTGCCAGGGTTCAGCTCCCTGCCCCAAATGCTCCGGGGGCAGGCGGCTGCCGTCCGCCAGGTCACGGTTCAATGCGTTTGAATTAGGTCCTGGTTTTATTTAATCGTTTCGCTGGAGTTAAGTTTAACGGGTATGTCCGACTCCTGGTAAAGGTTTTTCAGCCGCTCAGTTTCTGATAACGCTGCCGTTACTGAAAGGTGGTGGAGAAGGTGCGTTTGAGTTGTCTTATCTAAAAATCATTACTGTTTTGCTGCAGATGGCGTAAGCGCACAGGTATCGTCGCCCTCTGGCAGGTGCTCTATTAGCTGCTTCATGAATTTAAATGACATTTAAGATACGGAACTTTGAAAACTAAAGAAGCAATTAGTAACTTTTGATTCATGTCTTAACAGATGGCTAGATTAAATCTGATTAAATCTGATCAATGTTATTTTGAGCAGATAAGGATTTTGATGAAAAAGAGTAAAGAAAAATCAATGCATGTAAAATAGCCAACTAGATAAAAAGAGTAATTAACTTATTGATTAGAACTTTAGTAGTAGATAGTGAACACCTCTCTGAATTCTCTGTTGGCCCTGAAAAAAAAAAATCAGAGTAACACCTGTGATTTGTTTTCAGGAAGAGTTAAAAATCTGAGCAGCTGTTTCTTGTGCACTGTTCTATATGGGGTAGACTTCAGACTGTTTTCTGTTCTGAATAACAGTGCATCTAAATAATGTCTCATAATGAATTAATGCTGACTATTGATTTTTTTTCTTTTTTTGAAATGAATTTTTCTATTTATTTCAGTCTCCTCCTCCTGTTTTTGACAAGTAATTCTTTTCTACAGATCAGCTGTGCCCTGGAGAAACTTAAAAGAAGTCATCTAGAAACACAGACAATGGAGCTTTAGATTGAGCTTTAGTTGAAACTATTTTTTTAGGGTTTGGTTTCAAGAATTGCTTTGGATAAAAACCTTCCCCTTTTCCTTATGACTTTGAAAACATCTTTATTCAATATTTTTTTTTCCTATAGGCTTTTGTCAGTGAAAGAAAATAAAGCAGTTTTAGTTTGGGCTTTGTTCAACAAAGGAAATAGGGGGGTAACACTTTAAATGAAGAAGTTTGCTAGAAAAATGTGAATGTGCTTTCTAGAGATGCTTATGGCTGGGGGGGGGGGGGGGGGAATTTTTTTGCTTCTGTCTTTCCCTGATCTTATCACACAACTTCCTAGGTGTTGGTCATTCTGTGCTGTGTCATCTTGATAAGTGGCATTCACTGTCTTGCTTTTATGTGTAGTGGGTAAGTGTTGCATTGCTTTGCTTGTACTTTTCAAAACACTGCGATTATTTTGCAAATACCTTAAAAATGATTTAAAAGTCGTAATATCTATTACTTTCTTTTGGTGAAGCTTCCTTATTATAGCTATAGAAGCTACTGAGGTCTGTGTAAGACTATCAGTTTATACTTTGGCCTTAGAAAGGGTACGGTCAGTAGTGCTTTGGTTTAGGCATGCCTCAGTTACTCACATAAGCACCACAGCTCCACCCTTATGAATGTTAATGCACTTTACTCCATGGTTTTGTCTTGAAGGCTGGTGGAGTTGCTGGTGTCTGTGTTGACTTGATCCTTTTTCCCCTGGATACTGTAAAAACAAGACTGCAGAGCCCTCAAGGATTTAGGAAGGCTGGTGGTTTTCATGGCATCTATGCTGGTGTCCCTTCCACTGCTATAGGATCCTTTCCAAATGGTAAATTTTCTTTGGATTATGCTTTGTGTTCTTTAAGTGGGAACTTATGTAGTACAGGACATTTGTGTCCATGGCTTCCTCTCCTGCAGGTGACTTTGGATTCTGTGAGTCCATGTCCAGCTGTGAAGAACAGTTTCTAGAATTGTACAGTATTGAACAAACTCTGAGCAAGCCTGGAATGAAGGCTGCTGCATGTTTACTCTGAAAAGCAACCTTTACTCCTTGGAAGCGTTCCTGGATATGTCTTATAAGCCTGTCCTTACTTATAGGGGCACCCTAAAGCATTTCCAGGTGCCAAAGAGGGCTTGAGTCTTGCTTGCCCTGGACACTTTTGTCATGACCTGTTCTTTCATGGTATTGGAAATGAATCAAAATTCAAAGTCCTGGAGCACTGGAGGTCTTCGAGCTAATTGCCCTGGGGATGCTATGCCCATCTTTTTCTCCCTAGAAACAACTACAACACTTAAAATGAGAAGATGTCAGGAATACTTTTGAAAGCCAGGCTTTAAAAAAGTAAATGCTTGTCGTCCCTGCAGAGAAAAGGCATCTAAAATTCCTAATGCCTTTGTCCATTTTGTCTTTGTAGGGAGGGATAAAAAAGCAGCAAGCTATGCTGTCAGTAGTAAATGGTAGGAGAACTTTGCTGACAAATCCACTGACACCTTCGGATGTTTGATGTCCTTCATAAGATGATATAAAAAAAATGTTCTTTATCTTGTCTGCTCTGTTATCTCCTTTTGAGGTGATAAGCATCTTTTGATTAGCAGAAGGCAATTCACATAGACCTTCTTTACAATTAAAATCTGTTTGCCCGCAAGACATGTCAGTTTTTTCAGGATTTACATCTTCAAAATCTGAACTCTGGTTTTATCTTTCCAACGTATGACTGAGAACTGAAATTATCTTTAGGAGAAGGAGTAACCCTTAAGGTGTAAGTGCCTTTGTAGTTGACTGTAGGAGTAAATAAACACAGCTCGTGTTGCTATGCTCAGTTTAGTTTTGTATGTTTCTTGTTCACTGGACAGGACTTTTACGAGTCCTTCAGAAACGTGGAAGAATTTTTTTATGGAACTAAAGTGCAAAATATTAAACTGACGATAGCTAGGAAGAAGTTATTAATAACTGCTACTGAAACAGTTTTGCATATCGCAGGGTAGCAGACTTGTATCAAGCACCTTGATGATTTTGGGGTTGTTTTTTTTCTTTTCAATTAATCAACTGATTTGGTCCCGTCCCCGCCCCCCCCAATAAAGACCATCCATCCAATTCAACCAAACAACCTCCTCTCTACCCTTCCTATCTATGAATATGGAAGATACCATTTTTTTCAAAACGTACTGGACGTTCATGACTAATTAACACATCTTTCCTTACCTCAATACTAAATATGGCCTTAAGTCCTGATGCCTTTGATATTAATAGGAGGTTTGCCAGTGATAGTCAGGAGCAGGAACTTCTGAAAGAATTATCCCACAGATTGTGTTGATACTGTTGTACTGTTTTGGGGCAAAAATATCCTGTTTTCAACTACAGTTGCAGAATAATAGGTGACAAAATCCACCTCTAAATGTTTTTGTGCTTGTTCTGTGATGGAGGAACAGTTAAATGACTGCATGTATTCTTGAATTTCAGCTGCTGCGTTTTTTATCACCTATGAGAATGTGAAATCCATGCTGCACCATGGCTCTACATCTTACTTGACTCCAGCAACACACATGATGGCTGCCTGCCTTGGGGAAGTGGTAAGAAATAAGTTCATATATTGTGTGTCTGTGGGAGGAGAGGAAACCATTCAATTATGAAAACTCAGGCTTGGTGTCATATCTTATGTTTTTGGTTGTTGACCATCTTTGTACTTGTGACAGTTCTTATAAAAATATTACTTATTTTTTAATGAAGTGTTGGCACTTGTAAGGATTGTTTTAAAGTGAATAAATCAGTTAGTAACAATTCTTAGTAGGCCTGTTGGCTGATCTTGCTAAGTCAGTCGATAGTGGAGATGTGGATTGTTCCAAAACATGAATACATCTTCACATTGTAGTGATTGTGTGTCAGTTGTGACACACAACTGTGACACACATATTGTGTCTCCACATTCAAGAAAGGCTTTTACAGCCTTTCAGCTTCATGTGGAGTAGTCATGGAAAGGATTTTTATTTTAAAAATAGCCATAAGACAATGATGTTATATGTACAGTAGGTAGGTGCCATCATCCGAAACCCATTCACCTTGACACGTAAGAACCAGTATTAATTAATTAATAATTATCTCCCTCTCCTTCCCTCCATGCATTCACATTCAGCCAAGACTATTTAACAAAATATTTTATTGTATTTTTAAACAGACTCTCCTAGTGGATGTACCAAGTGATGTGACAGTATAGGGCAACTGGCGGTGGTGTAACTTCACTTACCAAATGATGTGTAACGCTTTCCTGATGAAGTGTGTCTCAGTGGAGAATGTCATGGGTAATCTAATGAAGCTTTTTTTCCTTGGGATGGACATCTGTATATTTTAGTGACAGCGTTTCACATGGTCTCTGATAGCTGTAGCCCTTAGTTTAGTGTATTGGTTGGGTTATTGCAGGATAAAGATACGTATGAATAATGAAAGTAATTTCTATATACAAGCTTTTTGAAAACTCTTTCTGCCCACTTTTCCAAAAAGTTGCTGTGTTTCTTATGCGTTAAATCCATTACTTTGTTTATAGCAGGTTCTGGAGCTGCTAGTAATGGCTTGCTTTGCCTAGGTTTATACAGTACCCAGAATAATTGGGACCAAATTCTGTTGAACACTTTAGATGATCATTAAGGAAGATCACAGGAGAAGCCTCTCTTGTTTTGATGCCTAGGTTGCCCTTGCCTTGTTAACAGCATGGACTTTGCAGAAATTGTGTGGGTGGGTGGTTTTTTTGGTTTTGTTTTATATTGTAAGTTACAAATGAAATAGCATTAACCTATTGAATTTAAGTAACAAAATATCTCTTGCTCTTTTGACTTTCCAATCTGGTATATCTAGGCTGTTTCCCTGGCTTACATTGACTGCTCCTTAGAAATCTTTTCTTTTTATTTCTCTGAGAGAAGGAAAAGTTTTCAGTACTAAGGAAATGTCAAGGCTGTATTTGAAAGTGACTTTATATTCCAGTTTAAGATCATAAAATTACTTTCATTGCCAACATGCAAGGCCAGGGTGACTGGACAACCTGTAGATCCACAGAGTTGAAAGTTTAGCTCTGGAAGAGCTAGTACATGACACTGTAACAGGAACGTCCTGTGCAAATAGACTGTAGCAAGTGTTGAAAGAGAACACTTCTCCATGTGGTCAAACAAACCCTGACCATTCCTGTCTGATCCAGGCACAAACTTGTCTATAGGTAAATACTGAAGACGCCTTACCCTAGAAGCTTGAGTATTGTGTTTTTAAAAAGTGTTTCTGAGGTTATTTGCAAACAAAGAGCAAGGTTGCTTTGGGTTAGCTGAATCAAATATATTCCGGGTTCAGCAAAATCCTTCTCTCCCCAGATACTCCTCTTGTTTTTAACTGCAGAGTTGGCACTGTGCCTTGGCAGCGTTCCGGGCTGGGTGTTCAGCTGTAAGCAGTCCATTGCTGTTCCTGCCAGCGCTGTCCACCTCCTTTCTCCTGCTTTTGTCACACTGGGTGTTTCCTGGCACTGCAGTGATGAAATGGGGTGCGAATTGCTGTGTCTCCACAAGTTTGGGGGAGGGAAATGGGTTGTATTAAACTAGCTTTTCTGCTCTTTTGCAACTTAAACTTAGCCCATGATGTGGGGCAGAAAAATATATTGTGTCTGTGGTTCCATATTCTGCTTTTATTAACTGATTTTTTTTTTTCATGTCTTGTGACACTGGCTTCTTTCTCTCCATTACAGGTAGCTGTGTATTTATACTCCCTGTGGTGGCTTAGTTTACTTGTAGGTTGGTCCCAAGCTACCAGGAGTGCAGAGGGATCTATGCCATTTTAGCTTAGCACCAGGTGCCTTGCTATTATAGCAGCATAGCCTAGCTACTTCCCACGGGAAGCAGTTCAGCTCTCCCTGCTCTCTGTGGGTTCAGCTTTGATTCCCAAGTAACTTTTATTCTGTGGAAATGATACTGATTAGATTGAATGGGACTTAGCCAGGGAACTTAATTTAACATACCAAGCACATGAAGATAGGTGAATGCAGCACCTACTAACCAGTCTGGTAGTGGTTATAGGCAGGAGTAGATAGAAGGTGATAGATTTAGGGCTGGGTGGGATACATTTGTGTTGCTGCCTCAGGTGGATTCTTCTTGATCTTGATTAGAGCCTGTGCTGTCAGGTTATGACTTCTAACTTAAGGCAATGTATAGAACTTACTTCCATGGAAATTATATAAAGGCTGTTAGAAATCAGCAAGAGATTCTTCACCACTATGGCAATGCATAGCCCTTAAATTCCTTGTTTGCCTGGTATCTTGTGGAACAGGAGATCCAAGAGGTGTTTTAAGCTTCTTGAGTGCTGTTTCAGAATCAAGCAAAATGACGATTAGGCTCATGAAGAGCTGCCAGTGCTCTGCGATAAAATCCACTGGAAAAAAAAGTCTCTTTCATGAGTGGGTTATTTATAGTATACTTCTGCCTGTGAGGATTCTGTGAGAAAGCTATAACTGGGTAATTTGATCAGCAGCAGCCAAAGAACAGTTGGCTACAGATGACTCCTTGCATGATTACAGAACCTGTTGCCCATTTTTTCCAAGGTGGTCTGTAGTCTCATGACCCTTACAACTCAGGCACTTAACTGCTTTCATTTTCAGGCTTACAAACGGAGATGCAGCATAGTTAAGTGAAGTTGCTCAGGGCTGTCTCGTGTGCTTGGCTCTTGCTACTCTAAGGCCAGAGAAATAGATAGCGATAGCCATTGAAATGGCAATCTGACTTTATGGTGTGGAAACTGCGATATTGTAATAGCCGTTTTCCAGCTAATAAGATTCTGCTTTTTTGCTAGCTTTTCTTCTCCCCTTGGTGTGATGGGAGAACTAAGCTCTAAAATAATTGAGATGGGGATTTAGAGATTTGCTACAACAAACCTGTAATAAAAATAGTACAAAGCAAGATCTTCCTACATTTGTTTTATATATTTCTATTGATCAGCTAAGACTTTATATAAACTCTTCCAAATTGCATCATGGTGAAAGTTGTAATTATAGTTTTATTGATTAGTCATTAAGTTTTAATCAGGGCATAACCACTGGGACTATTATTTTGTCAGTAGTGGTTTTTTTAATACATACTTTTCCTTCTTTGTACACTTTAATAATTACTGTGATATAAATTGCTTTTAAATATGAAATAATAAGCCAAAGACTCTGTCATGTTAGGATTCCCAAGGCATCTCCTTGCATTTCCAAACTGTCTTTTTACAAAATGGAGAAATTAAGATTTAGAGCGATCCACCTGATGTTGGATTTCTCGGTTTGCTGCTCCTTCACTGGTGAGCGTAAATGAGTCAGCTACCTTCTTGTGCATCAATAAAATATGAGTATGTGCTAAGCTTAAAGGTATGTTAATGCTGACTAATCTGTGTTTTGAATGTGACCTAGTGAAAATAATAAAATAGGTAAAGAGGAAAAAATGCAAAGGTTGCGTCAAGATACGTTAAAATATACGGCAGAAATTGGTCAAAGGGGAGCTCTTAGTTTTTATAACAGCCACTCTTCTGTATTGTTTGCAGCCTGTGTAAATTCATGGGAAACATAGTCCCCTGGAACTGGTTTGGTCCAATTTCCCAGTTCCAGGCTAGGAGGCACAAAACCAAGCAGTAAAAAGGCGGTGGCTGTAGCATGGTTTGTTTTTTTGTTTGGTTTTTTTTTCCCTTTTAGGCAGGAGGAATATAGAAGGCTAATCTCATCTCCCAGAGTGAGATAAAGAGAAGTACATACAAAATCTGACCCTGTTAAACATAATTATTTTGTCCTATAACTGAATCTTGCTGTATAGGGACTCTGAATATACCATAATACATGAAAAATTACTTAAAGACACAGCCAAAACTCTAGAGGGCAGATATATGGTATATCATTTCGTCAGGGAAGAAGGTTGAAGAATACATGAGTTACTGAGGGGGGGAAAACTCTATTATACCACTTGTGTCACTGAAATTTGGAGATAGGAAACACACTTACTGCATCCAGGGCTTTGGAATTTTTCATCTTGACTCTACATTGCCCTGTATGTTTAGTCTGCCTGTATCTTTACAGTGAGCTGCCAAATGTGCTTGGAAAACATGATATCATAGGGAGTGGAAAGGAAAACCAGATGTTCTAAAATTTTACTTTTAATATTCTAAGGTGGTGTAAGTAACTCGGAGAAGGAGCAGTATTTTTAACCTCCTAGTGCCCATTTTAAATAGTAACCAGGTGCGTCTTGCAGATCCAGAGTTAATTGTACAGCTCCAGATTGATTTGTACAGAATTTTTTATGTCAGTTTAATATGACAGTGTATACCATTAATTACAAGAAACTTTGATAAAGAGATGTCCCCCTCTGAGCGTCCCCCACGAGCCTCCTGCAAACGTGGTTTTATGGGACAAGTTTAGGATCATCCCAGTTTGACCGATGAGGTTTTCTTCATGAGTGCCAAAATGGTTGGATTCAGCACAGTTAACTTTTACATCCTGCTGGCTTTTCCGTGGAGGTGAGAATAAAGTCGTTTGGATCATGTTCTAGAGAAGCTAGCTGACCACAGCCTTTCCCGTCTAATA